CAGGACCTTCAACTTTGTACAGACAAAAAAATAGTAAATGTTGAAGACAGACGAGATCCTATAGTGCTGCGAACTGTTAGACAAGAGGCCAGAACAATGTCTGCCATCCCAGGATCCATTTCTTCTGAGACAGTCTTCCGAGGTGATAAAACTGTTGTTTTTTCTAAATGTGATGACTTGGAAATTACTGGGAATTATACAGATGTAATCTATAATGACAGTACTAAGGAAATGAACAGTTCACATCGTAAAACTTTTGAAAAGCCAGTTAATACAAACTCTTCACTAGCAGAAAACAGACATCCAGCACATGGTGATAGGGACATTACAAAGAGTCTAACATCTTCAGATAATCGAGCTTCAGTGTCGTATAAAAACAGTGCAACTGAACTATCTTCAGGCTCAGATGAACGAATTGAAAAAGTGACCCAAGATCAGGGGACTCCTTCAGTGAACATGGGTTTTGATTCACATACAAATTCAGTGTCTACTGGTGTTTCTAAGAATAAACTTCAGCACAGACTAGCAAACTCTCAACTTGTTTCTCTGCCAGGTGAGAAGACAGTAATATTCTCAGGAGAAGATATGGACTTGACTAAAACCTGTGTTGTCAAGGATGATGGAAAGAATGTTGAAAACGAATCTCCTGCTGGAGTGCCCACCTCTGCCACCTGCAAACCTTGTTTTCTTGATAACAGCTCTACATCTCCCAGTTTAAATGAACAGGAAGAAATGGAAATAACTAAATGCCATGCTGTTGTCATTGATGATCAGAGCAATGGGATAACTGCAGAAGCAAAACAAATGCATTGTAAAGTAATTCCAAGAAAGAACCAGAACAAAAATGTCAGCGAATGTCCAAATTCTTTAGATATGGACAAGGAAAATCTTGAGGTGATCAGTTTCGATGGGAATATGAAAAGAAGCCAGGCTATAGAAAGGAATACTAAAGATCTTGAGATGATAATGGTTGATAAGAAGCTTGGAAAACCAAATGTTCAGGCAAGTGGTCTGAGTTCCTGTGCAAAGAGCGTGTGCTCATTACAAGAGCAAAAGAGAGAAGTCCCTGAGAATATTGTCACCGACACCTGTGCATTCATGTCTTTGCAAAGTCAAAAAGTTGTATCTCAACCGTTGGAAAAAAACCTAAACACTTCAGTTTCCTGCACAAATGACAAAATGGGCAGGTTTTCAGATGATGAAAACATGGACATAACCAAAACTCATCCTGCTGCCTTTGATGTTGCTCCTGTTCATACAGTACAAGAATACAAGAATAATCGTAATCAAAATAATGCAGTATCCAAGCAGCTGCAAAACCAGACCTTCCAGTTCTCTGCTAGTTCTGGTGTGGATATCACAAGTCAGACTGCAGCAATAGAACGCGGGGATTTGAAAATGAGCACAAATAAGCAAACTGTTACTCCTTTGGCTCCGAATGGTTCATTTATTTCCAGTAATGAGCCTGTTCCCTGTGGAATGAAAGGAAATGAACGACTTGGAACAATATTAGGAATAAAAGCAGATGGCCAAAACTCAGACAGGCAAGAGAAAACCCATACTGTGAAGGTAGTAAACAAAGTATTGCCAACTCATGCAGATTCTGAGGGAGATTTTTCAATTGGTAAAACAGTTTCTCCAGAAGAGGATTTTAAAAATCTTCACTCAGTTGATGGCCTGCACTTGAGGGGTGCCGAAGAGCCGTTGCTAGCCAATACGTCTGGACCACAGAAGGGAATTTCCCAGTTGCCTTCGTTTTTGGAAAAGTCAGTTGTGTTTCCCTCTGGTGAAAACATGGACTTGACTGGAAACTGTGTGATAATGGTTCCTGATCACAACATCAATCCTGTTTTATCAGAAAGAAAAGCGGTACCTAGACACAGTGTTCAAGATGAAAATAAAATAATGTCCGTAAAACAAGGGGTCATGATGACAATAAATAGTCAGGAGCAGCCTGCGTGCAATGCGTACTCCTTGGTATCTGGCAAGAAAATGTTAACCATGACTGGTTTAAAACATTTGCCTTTCGCAGGTGAGAAAACAACCATATTTTCAGAAGATGCTGATATGGACATCACCAGAAGTCACACAGTTTCAGCAGACAAAATAATTTTTCAATGTAAGAGTTCAAGTGATGACACAGACTTAATTTCTGGAGATAAAACTTGTGTTTTCACCTACAATGATGACATGGAAATAAGTAGACTCGATACTGTTGCAGTTGACAAATCTATGGAAAAGGCTGCATCTCAAGGGATGCTTAACATGGCTAAAAGGACTGGAAGGAAAAGCTTGAAGGGCACAACAGGGGAAAAGACTGTTTTATTTTCACTGAACGATGAGAATAATGACATGGAGATCACAGAGAGCCATACGGCTGCAATAGGCCATGAAATTGTCTTGCAAAATGAGGTCGGGCTTCATTCTGTCTCTTCAGCTCATCCTGTTAAAACTGTTATGTTCACAAGTAGTCAGGCTGACATGGATATTACCAAGTCTTGCTCTGCTGACAAAACTACCGTAAAAGTTGTATGTGATGATAAACTGAGCTTGGATAAGGAGGTTGGACAGCAAGCGCTTTCAAATAGCGAAGCTACTGTGTTTGCTATGGATGATATGGAAATCACTAAAACCCATAATGTAGCTTTGGAAGAAAATTCTCTGCAAGGTAGGCAACTCACTCAGTGTGTTCCTTTAACTTCCACAATCATGTTTACGAGTTACCAGGCTGACATGGAAATGACCGAGTCTCACTCTGTTGACAAAAGTATTGAAAGAGTCTTATGTGAGGATAGATTAAACCTGGCTAAGCAGGCTGGACAGGAGGCTGTTTCAGGTAGCAAAACCATCATTTTTACTTCGGCTGAGGATATGGAGATCACTAAAACTCATACAGCTGTATTAAGTGGTGAAATTAATGTACAGGACAGAGAGTCCATGCCAGTTTTTCTGGAGTCCCTGCTGATAAAACCATTGTGTTCACCCACAACCAAGATGATATGGAAATAACTGCATCTCATACTACTGCTGTTAATAACAATATTAATGGATTTGAGAACCAAGAAGTGTCAGATAAAAGCACTTGGCGACCAGACTTGCACAGTGCGTTGTCTTCTTGCAGAGATGAAATAGATTCCCTGCATACAAAAGACCTGAATGGTGAATATCATACAACATCTAAGGATATTTATTCCTTCTTCTTCTTCATCAGCCTCAGCATTTCCTGGTGAGAAAGGGACTATGAAAGGCCACAGTGGCACAACACCAGGTTCCGTTTATTCTGTCTCGCTTCCAGAAGACACTGTGGATGTGCGGGCACCACAGGATCTTGACCTTCCCACGGATAATTCTGCCCCTGTCAGCAGTCAGCAGGATCTCACACAACCAGAAAAACTGAAATCAAAGAGAGTGTCTTTCAAGCTTCCAAGTAATGGGCCCATGGATTGCAGTGAAGAAAGCGGTGATTTGGTGTCCCGCGTTTCACTTCCCATCCAGGAACCAGATTCTTTGACGGGTTCTCCAGATGGATGTAGTACTAAGAGAAACCAAGTATTGAAAACTGATTCATCTAGACATGAAGACTTGGCTACAGATTTAGGCTTGGCTGGAGCAAGCCTTGTTCCAGTTTCTAACAAGGAATCAAAGGAAAATGAGGGACTGTCAGCTGAAGGGGAGACACCTCCAAAAGACTTTCAAATAAACTCTGAACAAACTAAGCAACTTTTGGTCAGTGACAGTCCAAGAGATCAAATAGATCCCACTCTTGCACCTGAATTATCAGGTATTTTAAATGTTTGTTCAAAACTGAAAAATATTAGAAGGAAATCTGCAGTTCTCTCCCTTTCTGAAACTGGTTTTTCTGACCAGTTGCCCAAATCATCAACTCAGCCAGAGGATACCTTGAGGTTAGGAAAAACTACTGTAAATGAACCAAATAATTTATTTTATACCAAAGAGCAGGAGAACACATGTCTTGAATCTGGAGCTGCTCCCATAGATGCAAATTCAGGCATGACACTTAAATATCAAGGAATAAATGTCCCTCTAGGTATCTTCCAGCCTAAATTACCGAACAGAAGAAATCCTTCTGTTTCTAGTGTACAAGCCATAAATACAAAATCTTCAGACAGAGGAGAAGCACCAGTTTCAGAAGTAAGCGTGAATGCTGGTGGAACCCCAGGTAACAAGAAGTCCAGTAGACAGAACTTCAGCCCTTCTCGGTTTATAGCAGAAGAATTTCTTCCTGTCTGCCTAGAAGAAATGGATTCAAATGAATCTGTAAGCTCTGAACTCGTAGAAAATGCTTGCAATGAGATAAACAAAACCCAAATCTCCCACAATGAAAAGAATCAATTTGAAGAGACAAAAACTTGCAACAACACAAAAAGAGCTTTGGAACAACATGAGGAGGATCTTCAAAGTCCAAAGAAGCTCAAGAGGGATGAAAACTTGGATGGTGAGGCCTCCCAAGACTTGCAGGTGAGCCTCATCACTCATTATAAGGATACAGTGAACACTAACAGGACTTTTGTTTAAATTTGGGGGTGTAAGCACATCTATTGGTAGGTTTTCTTGTTTCTCTTAACCACCAGCTTGCTGTCATTTTGTTATGTCATCCCCTGTATTTTTCATTGTTTTGCCAAAAAAGAAGAATCGGGTTGATATGTGCAACTTTCCTGAACTGTGCAAAACAGACAGAATAAGGGATATGTCCATTTTAAATAATTCTCTCCATAGTATCCTTGTAATCCTTTCTCGACTAAATACTCTTAGTCCTCTGAACTAAACTATTTGATAGTTGTTGCTTAGGTACAATGATAGAGTAAGGTCTAAAGCAATTATTTGAAATCCAAACATGGATGTTCAGTTTAAATTAGCGTTTTTACAGACAGCAGATTGCAGCTGAATCAAGAAAATCTGTGCAAATATGGAACATTAATCTGACCTTAAAAAGAAATTTGTCCATCATCAGTAGAAACTTGCTAGTTCCAAAAGGTGGAAGGGCGTGCTGTGGTGGCTGCTGCTTTGATTGAGAAATGAATGAAGGATTTTGCACCTTAACTTCCTATATGTCATCGTAGGAAATGGCTTAACTAGCCATACGCTGGCTTGTCATGCTGAGTAGATATAAAATGGGTCGATACTAAATATGAAACAGTTCTGAATGTCAAGAAACAGCTACAACAAACTACTGATTGACTTATTCTTGTATTGTTTCATAGAATCGTTTAGGTTGGAAAAGACCTTTAAGATCGTCCAGTCCAATAAAACCATTATTATTCAACCATAAACCATTATTATGCATGTAACTCATTTAATATTTTGTTAAAAACTTGCTACTTTCAGGTTACTTCTGGCGCTGTGTCTCAAAGCCAAGTAGAAGTTCATGAAGGTGAAGATGCTCCAAATCTGTCGGCTAAAAGCCCCGATTGTACGCACGCCAGCACCAGCAGCTCTCTGGATTCCGTTAAGGCTGACACAGAATTAACAAGTAAGACTTCCTTTGTGGTAATGGCTTCAAACCTTGTGTTTTTCACGCTTAATCAAGGAAGAGCCCCACTCGTAGTATACATTTCATTTGGGAGAGGCCTCGAATGCCTGCGTCACAGCTTCCCACGCAGTCAACGTGCTTTTATGTTCTGGCGAAGAGTCCAAGCTGTTCAAGGAAAACTGTGATGGGAAGAAAAAGTAGCAGAATTTAAGTACAGGCTTGTTTGCAAGGGCAAGTTGGGCTGATGAGGCAGTTTAGTTACCATAGCGCAGAGCAAAGCCCCAACTCGCATGCTGCTGGCCCAAAGATAAAATTAAGCTGGTTCCATGCAGAACGGCTCTGCGTGTCTGTGCCCTTGGAAATAAGCCTCCTCAGCGCGTGTTGCGGGGACAGGCTCTAAGCAGCTTTAGGCCCCGGGTTTAATTAGCTCTTGCTAATTAGCTGATACCTAACAATGAGGCAGAAATCTGCCAATTGTCTGCTAAGTGATACCTTGCCTCTATTTACAAAACCAATTGCAGTTTTGGCCTCCTGCAACCATGAACGCACATGCCTTAACAAGTAGAGGTTGGGCTCTTTCCTTTGAGTGAGAAACTAGCCCTTGTTGGCTCAGAACTCAAATGCCGTGTTTTTACCTTGAAAGCTGCTGGCAGCTCAGATGCTCTTTGGTCTCTGTCTACATAGGATAGATGCCCTCTGTGAACTGGTTGGAGTCTGTCTAAGTTTTACTACTTTTTAGTATGTTCCGTATGGCTTTCCTCCCACAGAAAAGTGAACTCTGTCATTTCATTACCGCTCTGACACAGACTTTATTTTATGTTAGATTCTTAATCTAGTCCTCCTTATTTGTCCCAAGTAGTGGTTTCCTCAGTTATTTTATTCAGCACTGAGAACGCACATAAAGGTCAAACTCTAAATTAAAATTCCTTTTTTTTTTTCCTAGAACTAACAAGCTGTGGTTCATATTTCCATAAGAATATTATTAACCCCATAATTTTTTTTTTGTTGGCTAGTTCAGCGAAGCAGTCAGATGGAGTCTCAGCTTCTCACAGATAGCATTTGTGAAGATAACTTACGGGAGGTATGTAAATAGCTGAAAGATGCTAACTTCTTGTCCTAACAGGACAAGGATGTGTGTGCATATATGCAAGTAAGCTTTCTTGCTTGAAAAATGTACTGATCTGTACGTTTTTCCTAATCTTTACAGAAATTTCAGAACGGTGTTATCACAGTTGGGGAGTTTTTTACGCTTCTTCAAGTCCATGTTGTGATTCAGAAGCCCCGGCATAGCCATCTTCCCGCCAGTGTGAGTATCCGTCCTTTGATATGCATAATATAATCGACCTTAAATTATATTTTTTTGCCATAGTTTGGTTTGGTTTTTGGTTTTGGTTTTTAATTTTTATCAACTAACCGGTCTGTATTAAAGGCCTTTAAATGAGTTAAGCCAGAAGTCGGTTCCACCTTGGCAAGTGTGTTAGACACTGCATGTTTCCTCTTGTCTCTTTGCTTGTTCACCTCTGGGATGCTTTTTTTTTTTTCCTCAGCACTGAAAAATAGAATACATTTCAGTCTCTTCATGACATACCATATATTCAGGATTACCTCTTCTTGGATAAATATGCTAATTCTTGCTTTTTTAACTTGTTTTAAGGATAAGTTTGAAAGTAAGAATTAAAAGCTCAGCCTAACCTTTTCACTTTACCTTTTTACTGTGTCCATCAGCCACTGAAATCAGAATCCTGAAACACTACTCTGCACTCCTACTACCTGTCCTGCTCTCTTCTTCATAAGCGCTTCACCATGACATCACCACTCTTTATTTCTTCCCCTTAAGGCTGTTCTGCCTGAACCCAGTTTCAGTATCCTCATCCTGAAAGGTTTCTGTTGGATTCTTGCAGACATGGGAACAACATTTTTTGCATGCAGACAAGTACCACTCATTGGCAGCAACTTGATGCTGAACAAGGCAGTAATCTTACTTTGCAATCATCCCGAAAACAGGGCCTTGTAATTTGTTTTCAGTAAAGGCACCTTATTTTCCCATAAGCTTTCTTATGACTAGTGTTTCAGACTTGGTTATTTGTACACGTTTGTGTAGCCAGCTGAATTTCTAACTGGATGCTGGGGCTGGTCTCTGTTACCTGTCTGGGTTTCGCAAATGATCTTTAAGGAATGGTACTTGCGTAACGAAGTACTGTGAATGAGCTGCTTAGTTTTCCATACGTAGGTATTATACTGACGTGGAAAAGTTTCGAGTTTCATGAACAGAGAAAGTTTGTTGGTAAGATTGCAATGCTTAGCATTGATTTAATAAAGTATATGGGGATTTAGTTCAGATCCTTCCATTTTCTGCTGCTTGCTACAGTTTCTACTGGCACAGTGAACGATGCGCTAGGACAAAGGAAAAGCCATCCTGGAAAGTGGAAAACCTTAGCAGTGTCTGCATAATTTTGACACTGGTTTGGGAGTTTCTTCTATGCTGGCGCTTATTCTAGAGTGCTGGAGAACTCTTCAGTAGTATGTTCAATGTTAAATTTAAGTTCTAATGAGATTTGATCTTCCTTCTTTCAAATGGGTAGCAGGACACATGTGTTGGTAGGAGTTTTTAATATGTCTTTATGATAATAAGGGTAAGAGTGAAGTAGTTACTATGTATGAAAAGGTGTCGTCAAGATCATATTCTTCACATGGAAAGTGGTATATTTGTGACAATTCTTTACTTGTGAAATTAATTCTAGTACTTCAGATTAGTTGAAAACTGGCTCCTGTATAACCAAGTCTTACTGCTGTAAGATGTCACGCTGTCAGGGCAAATATGTCAGTAGAATCTTCACATTGGAAATTTAGATATCTTCTTGGAAATAAGGACTGAAATGTGGACCTTGTTTTGTCAGTTTGCAGAAAGCCAGTGCACAGAGCTGGTTTGATATGTTTGTGGGGCACACGTGGTGGTGTGGTGTCTGCCTTTCTTCATTGCCTCGTTGCTGGCTGAATAAAATTTCTGTGTGTCAACTTAGCAAGAGCAAGTAAAAAGTCTGTCCTTTTAAAGTTCTTTAAAACTGTTACGATACAAGAATGAAAACTGATTACAAAGAATCACAGCTAAATTAATATAATTTGTATTGATCAAATTGCTTCCTTTATGACTCTTAAATCTCTTCTGGTTTTATTTAAAATGCTGTACTACCTTAGTTACAGTTTAGTTTACACTTTCAGTTTGCAAATTTATTCATACTGAGCTGTCTCTAAATATTCATCAGGCTTACAAAACTCTGATACCATTCATTAGTGACTGATCTCTGATAAAAAACAACCACCACCCTCACCCCCCAAAAGCCCCTGAAAGCTTTCTCTGAAGGGATGGAATTAATATCAATTATTTATGTGCTTCAGTATATAGGTAGCTTGCTGAAATAACCCCATCATATTTATTTCATGTGCCGAAGACTTGTTGAAAATTGGGACCTTCAATTCTGAATCAAGCATAGCTATCTTGTTTTATTCTAGAGCACTCTTGTTACCTGGATAACGTATGCATGTTTTTCAAGATTTCATCTAAAAGAAAGTTAACCACTTTCAAATTTTTTTTTTTTCCTGAGCTCTAGTGATGAGGCATATGTCCCAAAAGGAAATCCATGCTCAAATGTAAGGAAACATGGGACATAAAAGTGGAATGAGCTGTCTAAGGTTATATGACTAACTTGTCTCAGAATGAAACAGGACAAGTCCAGAATGAAAACAATAGTTTAAGTATGTCAGGCTGCCTCCATTAGGGTTTTGTGGTTTTTTTTTTTTTTCTGTTCTGCAAAAATAAAGATTCTGGGCCTTTTGCTGGTTTCTGTACATGAATTGATCGGAAGTTGCTGTTTCTGAAAAAGATGCATCTTTTTTTCTTTTTCTTCACAATTTTTCCCTCTGTTTCTCCCCAGTGTGCAGTCCGTGAACCACCTACTCCAGAAGACCTCATTTACAGCCAATATGTTTATCGCCCCAAGCTGCGTATTTATGAAGAAGATTGCCAGGCCCTTTCTCAGATGATAGATGAGTAAGTGTTTTTCCAGTCAGAGTGTATTAGTAATTTTATTTTTTCAGCTTTGGCTGCGTGCAAAGTGGCCTGGAGAAAGTTAATACATTACATATGGGAAAAATAAAAAATTGTAGTTAACCTACTTTATGCTGGTGGCCAGTTTACTACAGATTTAGACAGTATAGGGGTAACTCTTGGGAAGGAGTTATGCTTATGGAGGTAATTAAAGTTTGATCTTCCTCAAATAATTTATCTTTTACTAATAGAGTATTTCAGTTGCACATCAGAAGAGTTAGAGTAAAACTTTTATAATTGCATCAAAAATTATCATAGAAAGCAGAATCATAACAGGTTATGATCTATGTTTGTTCCCATCTTCCAGTGTTTATTAGACTGAAATACAGTTGTCATGATTTATTTTCTTATCTGCAGGACACTTCTGGTCTGATTCATTATGCCTTTTACAATTTATGTGCAAAATCAAGTTTTATGATAAAATTCAAAATCAGCAATAAGATTTTTCACAGCCTCATTAGCACCACTTTCTGTTTCCTTGGCTCTCTAGCCCTCCACCTCCTGCTCAGACCTGCCCTCAACAAAAAGACTACAGGAACTGAACTTGGTATTACTTGCTAGAGTTTAACAAACATGGGCCCCATTCAGTCAAGGCTTTAGAGGGTCTCTCCATGTTTTAACTAGACAAGGGGAATGAACTGTATAAATACCAATGTGGTGCTTTATGTGCTCAGTGTGGTTGCAACAAGACTTATTTCAACTTTTTTTTTCGATATTTCAGGTTAAAACTGTATGCGAATGTCCAGGATCAGCTCCTGGTGAATGTGAATAGGAGTTTGTGGGAAGTAATGAGAACCTGCTCTGATGAAGAGGTAATGCTGCATGAAGAGATAATGTTGTTTCTTACATAACAAAGAAGTACGGTTAATTTACGTATTCAAATAAAGTAAGAACCAGAATGGTCACAGAATAACAGTAGGCAGGGAGGTGATACAAGGCAAAATATTTTCTGGATGGAAAACTGCTATGAGAACTTCCAATGTGTCAGAAGAATGCAAGGATATGTGCCCTTTAAAATATATTAAAGAGAATATGTTGCTATAAAACCGAAAATCTTGATAATTCGAGTTGGTAATTCAGGTTAGTTGAGGACAGAAAAGGTAAGAGAAACTTTAGATGGGCCTAAGCAAGCAGTGCAATTTTGGAAAGAAAAAATGAACTGCTCTTACTGTAGAGACTCTGTTGCTTCATTGGTGGAGCAGAATTGTCCCTTAACTTAAATGCTTATTTAGTTCAGAAAGATGTGTAGCGTGGCAAGACATATAATGAACAGAAAATGTGTCATTACACAAAAATGAAACTGCATACAGGATTTAGAGTGCAACAGTGGTGCCAGGTGCCAAAACAAAAGATGTGGCCAGAGGGTATTTAAAGGATAATGGGCGCAAAAAAGCATGCCACACGTTTGCATTTAAAACCCAGAAGCAGTATAGAAGTATCCCAGCCCGAACTGAGAAGGTAGATCAAGAGATTCTGTTTTCCATGGTTCTAATGCCAAGAATAAAGATCTATTAAATGAAAATAGAGTCAAAATTGATAAAAACCAGTATTTTTCATAGTTCATAATTAGATTGATACAGGGTATCACTGAGGTGAGGTTATTAACTAGATTCAGGAAGAATTATACTTAGGAACAATGAAAGCACCTAGAACCCTTAGCTAAGAATAACAAATTTGAAAGCTTATTAAGCAAATCTCTACACACTGCAATTAGAATGATACTGTCTAGTGGAAATAGGCAGATGGCAAACACTGTAGAAAAAAGCTTTTTGTACATTCCTCTGCAGCATCTGGATTGACAGCTGTTAGAGAAAACATTGAACTGCATGATCTGTAGCTACGTTCTGTTAAAACAGGTTTTAAGTTTTACTTCTTGTGGTTTGGGTTCTGCCTGGATTTCCGTGAGTGTTTCAGTTAGCCTCCTGAACCGTAATGGGGCGAGTGTTCTAAATACATCTCCAACAACTGGGACGAGAGGCAGCCGATGTGCTTAATGAAGGTGCTCTGGTTTTTGGTAAAAGCATCTCTTTAGTTATTTGTGCAGCTCCCTATTTGAGTAAAGATCTTGTTGGATCTTTGCAAAGAAAATCAGTTACTTTAGCAGGCAATTGTACTTGAATTAACAGGGATTGTCCAGTCTTAAATGCCATTTAATTTGCAAGTGTCACGTAATACTGCTACTAGAGAAATGGGATATTGGGAGGAGCAGAGAAGGGAGAAAGAGTCTAAAGGGTCAGCTGAACAATCTTTTGTTGCGCATTCCCATTCACTTTCTCTTCTGTATTTTCCATTCATTGCAGCTGAAGAGCTTTGGAGCAGAATTGAACAAAATGAAATCCTATTTCACCAAGGAGAGTAAAATCTTGGCTCACAATGAGAAAGCGACGTTGTACAGCAAATTGCTGCAGAGCGCCCAGGTAATGTGCCACAAGGCTGCAGAGGTTTAGCTTTAAAAAACAGAATTTCTACCTTATTTCATCTGTCTTTGTCAAGTTCAGGAGCCTAATTATTGTATGTAAGTGCGCATTGTCTTGAAAGTTTCCTTCTTAGTAAACACGCTTCCCTTTTATTTATATGCAAATGTAAAACATTGGGACAGTGACTTTCTTGCCTTGCACAATAGGCATCTTCTGCCTAAGGGTTTGGCAAGTAAAGTACCAGAGTGAAAAATGGGAGTATTACAGGAAATGCTGCCAGAAATTAGCTCTTTATACTGCAGTAGTATCAGTATTAGTAACTAACAAGGAAATGCAGAAGTAATGCATTGTGATAGGTATCAGAAACTCGTATGTGTTAAAGGCTCTAGGAATTTATTTCCATGTCTTATCTCATGCCTTCGTAAGAGAAGTCATTAGGAAGATACATTGTCAAGTATCTAGTCCTTTCTTATGCATGGCTACTGCCCTAATGTTTGTCAGTCTGCCTCTTCCTTCTAATGACAGATTATATCAGCTTCTTTAATTAGTTTCTTAGCAAGCAAAGAGCCATGTGCTGGACCCAGAAGACAATTCAGCTTTTTAAAGAATGTTATTGACTTGAGTACAATTTTCCTATCTTAGGAACAACACAAAAAGCTACAGTCAAGAATAGAAAAGGTGGATGAATTGCTCAAGGAGACAGAGAGCTGTCTTGTTGACCTGGAAGCAGGTATGTGTTTCCAAACCAGAGACAGATACACTGATTTCTCTATTTTTCTGTAGAGCTCCTGTTTAAACGGTCCGTTCAAGATTCTGTGTTTAGTGGCTGCTTGGAATTTTACAATTCCTTTGTTACAAGTATTTGTTAGGCCTAAATACCTTCATTTGTGTCTGCAAACTTGTCTTGTGGGAATCACTTACACATTATATGAAGACTAGGAGTACACCTGCACTGAAATACAGAATTATAATTGTAGCCTGTGAACACGTAACCAAGCTAGCTAAATCTGCTAGCCATAACAGTACAGCTGCTGGCAGCGCGCAGTTCAGAATGGCTGCAAAACTGCCAGTGATCCTGCAGGTAGGCAAGAGCTTTGCACTCCAGGACTTTACTGTTTTCAGCACCATGCTGGAAACAACTTGTTCAGTTGTGTTCACACAAGCTGCACTCGGTACTTAGCATGGCTGCATAACGATGCTCTGTGTATTTTCACTTCTTCCAACTGAATTTCCTTCCAACACCTTAAGTAGAAATCAAATTGCACAGTATCAGCTTTGAAACAATGCAATAAAAGGAGTTTTCCTTGTTATCTGTTACTTTTTGAGGTTTTTGGTAGATACGCTACCAGCTTTTTGTACGTTTTCCTTAGTTAGTTTTGAAATACTAAGATTTATAGAACCCACAAACAAATAAAATTGAATCTAACTATTGAATCTGGGAGTTCTGCAGAGACCTGATACTTCTTTCCCATAGATTCTGACAGGGAAGCAGACTGCGGTGATGAAATGGCAAAACGGAAAAGCCTTGAGGAAGGTAATAGTACCAGCTGAATGGCAATTTTTGTTTTGTTTTGTAAATTCTGGAGAGGGTGATACTCAACATGCACCCTGATACATTAATTCTGATATGGATGCAAACACTACTGCTTTTTTTTCCACATTGGATACAGCTCATTACATAGATGTTAAAGTATGAAAAGGACTGGTTTTCCCCTGGAAAAATGGAGTTTAGAACTTGGTACAGTGTGACTTGAAGAGTGTGTGCTGGCTATCATATTCAGCACTTTAGTTGTTCAATGATTACTGACCTTTGTTGACTGCATGTCGGTATCCAGGTAGGAGTAACGGCCATCAAGTTGAGATCACTCATATTGTTAAGAACAGTGACTGCAGAGCAAGTTAGGGCTTTCTTTGCCGTTCTTTTCTCACATAGCTTTTTTCCCTTTCTCTTAGAATTGGAAAGCATCAAAGCTCAAGAAGAGGAACTTCAAAGGTAAGATGTCAAAGAGGATCTAAAGACCTTAAGTAACATGTGCACGTTCAGGTTTTAGAAGGTTGGCGGTTTTTTAACTGGTGTGCTACATCTCACGTGGTTGGTTTATCTTGGCAGAGAACTGTCAGATCTGGACACTCAGAATGAGCAAATGCTTGCTCAGATGAACCAGCTAAAAGAAGAAGAAAAAAGCTGCCAGCAACTCCTGGAGTCATACGAGTAAGGAAAAGACCTTCAGGTTTTATTTTTATCAGCTAGTTCTGGGGCCTCACATTTGTGTATAAAAGTTTTTGGTTTGGTTTTCCTTGTTATTTGATTTGGGAAATCTTTGGATGCCCATCTTCTCGCAGCCTAGGATAAGCAATAAAGCCTTGGTGAACTTCTGGGTGTGATGCACTGTTTTTCTATTAACAACTTTGCAGTGATACTCTACGTCCAGTCTTTCTATATCCAACGCTCCTCCAATTCTGAAATGAACATTTATGTAAAATGAATAGTATTATGCTTGCATTCCCAACAGATTCTTATGTTCTGTTGGAAAGTGAAAATTTCGTTGGTATATTATGTGGTAATAGCTGCAAGTGCACCTAATACTCTGTCATTCAGGTTATTATTATTTTGGTTGGTTGGTTGAAACTTAGGGTGATGGTGGGTTTTTTTCCTCCCCTTTTTTAGCTTCACTGAGTGGGAGCTTACTGAATGGAGCGAAAAGCAGGCAGTCTTTAATTTTCTTTACGATTCTATTGAACTCACAGTCGTGTTTGGACCCCCAATAGGTAAGTCGCAAAATTGGTAGGTTTCCATTTTATTAATTTGAAAGGTTAAATAGTTACGTAATAGAAACCTAAAGTTTTTATATTTGTGATGATCTGCTAAAAGGAAACAGAAAAACTACAGCAAAAGCGTGTAAGCTGAGAGGTGGCTTTGAATACATTTATCAGTGCTTTCTATGAAAATTCAGAAAAGTATGTAATGAATGGCTGTTTCTGAAGAGGAAGAGCTGTAACTCCAGAACTAAGTATGGAAATAACTACTGTCTGGGTTTTTTCCCTGTCCTTCTCAGATGGTGATGTTTTTGGTGAAGATCCTTCCAGAAAGATAGTTAGCCTGAATTTTGAATCTCTCTTGGATGGTAAGATTTTTTTTTTGAGTAGCTTGAAAGTAGCTGCCGTGATAATCTCTTCTTGGGAAGACATCTGTAAATTTGTGGTTTCTCTGCTAATGCATTACTATACGGCTTTTAAAAGATTTCTGGCAACGTGTTTTTTCTTTTGTGTTACAGAGGAAAAAGCTCCACCCTCCTCATGTTTAGTCCAAAGACTCATCTTCCAGTTTATTGAAAGTCAGGGATGCTGGCAGGAAAAGTGTCCCACACTGTACTACTTGCCCCAGGTAATGTTCCAGGAAAGCCTGTAAGACTCTGGAAGAACATTAAATCTTTTCTGACACACAGAATAGGGCTGACACTGAGAACAAAAGCATCCGAATGAATGCTTCATCAGTGCAAATCAAAATCTGCTTCATTAATACTCTGAGGTTTGAGGGCAAGTACCTGTCCCTGAAGGCAAGAGTCCTAAAAGCTGTGGTTTCTTCCTTGTTTGCTGCATTATTGTCTGCCTGTCTTAGTGATGTCTTAAAATTCTTTTTTTTCTGCTAGTAGAAATTTAAAAATTGAGCTGAATGCCATTCTGCTTCCTGAAGAATTAATGGTTTAAATTGCCAAGCCAAACTTGGTGTTCTTGCATGTCTCTGTACCCCTGTTAACAAAGCTGAAGGGAGAAACTTAGGGCAAAGAATGTCTACTTGTTGTTATGCTTGTACAATTTCATTTTCACATCCAAACTGAGATAGCAGTTAAACTACTTTTTTTTAGGATAAACTGCATTTTCAAGTGTCACATAGTTTACCAGCCTGAGTGCCAATGTCTTTGCTTTCCTGATTGCCCACTTAGGTTCTTCAGGATGTCTCTTTGGTGGTGAGTCGTTGCAAGATCTTAGGAGAGGAGATTGAATTTCTGGAGAGATGGGGTGGAAAATTTAATCTTCTGAAGATGGATATCAATGACACAAAGTGAGTAACTTCAGATGGAGTTTACACCAGTCCTTCAGAGAGTGTCTCTAGATAATCAGGAACAAAACACTGAGATACTTTCTGTTTGGTTTTCTTGAAACTGAGATTTTATGCCACTATTTTTAACAACAATCTAATTTATTTTAACACAATTGCACTATAATACTCAAATGCATGGAAATCAAGCTGTTCTTGGATTCAGCCACTTCCTTACTAGCAGATAACCTCTCCTTCCTTGCTGCTTTCCTGTTTGACTTGACTCTCTCACTTAAAACTTTAGGCCAGAGTGTAGTAATGCAAAGGAAACAGAGCCAAGAGTTTACCTGTAGCTTAGTGCTTTGTGTCTTTTAATCTTCTATTTGCTTCAGCCAAGCAGAATAAGTCGTTGAAGGATGAATGCACTTAAACAAAAGTTTATTTTCTTCTTAGTTTTCATTTTCTCATGCTACTTCCCGATTTTGTGTCATGTCTGAGTGGAACAAGATAAATACTACTTCACCTTAGCCTTCTATTATTGATGTATATCCTTAACTAAGAAGTGTCCTGTTAGCCTTGCTCTGCATGCCTTGATGCTGTTCCCATAGGTTATTCTAATTTTGTAGTGCCCTTTGCAAGAGTGGTGTTCTACTACATGCCAAAAATCCCATAAAAGCTATCTTTAGTTAAGTCAACAAAACAGATGCAAGAGCAGCCTGTGCTCAGGAAGTTGCAAATTGTGGGAGACTTACCTGGAAAAGACCTGTATTACGCTTGTTCTCGCTATCCCAAAGCATCTGCTTCCTGGGCATTGTGTCCTTGGTGCTGGTCTTACCCATAATTACAATAAATTCAACTCTGGCCTTCCCTGCACATTTTCATAGACAAGAGTACTGTGCCAGATAGAAATTTGGCCTGATTTAAATAGGGTTGGATTCATGAAACAAGCTCAGAATTATGGTATTGGAGGTAAATCAGTCCTACTTAAAACTTCAGAAAACTTTAGCTACCTAGGAATATTTTATGTTACCTAGAAAACATACTTTTTGTTACTACTTTATATTCTCCCATAATTTTTGAAAGGTTTGTGAATTATGTGTGTATTAACTTTCTCTGTGAGGGAAGTTGGGGTTCTGTCTTCTAACTCGGCGTTAGAATGCTGATAGTATGAGAGTGGAAAGGTTCTTTTAACCTTATTTATGAAGTTACTGTTAGTCTATGCTGAAACTCTTTAGAAGTTATTGAGCTTGTTGCATCGATTACATCACTTGTTTTCACTTCTGGAACCTAATTCAAAGGCGGTAGCAGTACACTTGAGTATTTTGTATTGATCTTTTTGTTTGTGTTTATTTCGCATACAGAGTGAAGCTTCTGTTCTCCGCTTCCACAGCTTTTGCAAAGTTTGAGTTGACGCTGACTCTATCTGCCAACTACCCATCTGCTTCACTGCCTTTTACTGTCCAAAACCAAATTGGGAATATTGGGTGAGTTGAACAGAAAGAACCACTCTATATGACTTAAGTTTCAAAGCTAGGGATGGGGAATTAATGTTCCGTATCCTCTCAAACACGTGTGATAATTTTATCTTTCCCAGGGAGGAGGAAATCTCTGCTGTTCTGTCCAGTGTGCCAGTTGGTTCCCACTATCTGCGGAGAATAGTCAGCTTGATTCATCAAAATTTGCTCCAGGATCCCAGATGATTCACTAGATCTGCACGCAGGACTGAAGAAGTCAGACTGGATATGCTTTGATTTTAGTCTTGGAAGAATTCAAGCTGTCTCTCACCAGAATGGGAGTGCTGTTAGCTACTCAGCTCTCTAGTAATCTTGTCTAATAATTGGTTGATATCCAGGATGCTCGGTGTAGGCCACAAGTTTTTACAAAAGCAGAGGTCTCTGAAGAGGAGAAGGAAGAATTTCTTAGGTCTCTTGTAAATCCAATCTGCCTTTTATCATCTTTCGGTCACCAGTGGTCGTGGCCTCCTTGTATATATAGTCTTTCCTAGTATGGATATTCTTCTGACATAGCATATTAATTTTGGTCTGGGTTGATTGACAGAGCTCTTGTATAAAACAATGATGAGTGTTTTCTAAATTAAATTACTGGAATTTACTTTCCCTATCATTACTTCACTACTTTGTAGCATTTTAACGTATTGCATCACATTTGATTTTTATGAGTTTCCTGGAATCCCTCCCAAAACACAAGAAACCATAGCCCTGCTTCTGGTTAACCAAATAACCTGTAATAATTAACCAGGTGGCCAAAGTCAGAAATACTTCTGGCATGAAGCTAAAGATCCCAGTGCTTGACCATGGACTTTGCGGTGCGACAGACTGAAAGCCATCAGGTTCCATCTGTGTGATCCTCTCCAACTTGAAGTTTGTTCCGATATTCAGTGTCTTTGTCCAGTACAGTCTGTCTCTTGGTTCTGGTACATTGTCTGAGTTTGTAATGCATTAGAATTTTAGCAAGGAGATGGAGCTGTTTAAATTTAGGAGGTATCTGTAATATCGTTGGTGCAGTCCAGATTGCTTTTGTATATATTTTGTATATTACGTAGGTTGAGCTGTTGGAACTGGTCTAACCCCGATTGAGTTTATCGTGTAGAAGTGCCTACCGTTTCTCAACTGTCCATCCTGTAGGCAGGTGCAAATTTTTGTATCTCTGTAAAATATGTTGAATTTAAAAATGTTTTCTTGTGTTTAAGTGTTTACATATTTTTGTCTTTTTACAAATTTTCCTTCTATTTGGAAGGTGGAAGTTCATTAAACATTTTAATTATTGCTCTTCCTTCTTCAGGTTGGGATTATTGACTGCTCTATTTAAACTTGTGACTGAAAATTTGCCTACTACTATTGAAATAACTTTGTTAGTAATTTGGGAGGACTTTTCATAATATGAACTTCCCACACCCCCCCTTGTGTTTCCTAGTGTTAGCTTTCTATGGCCTGGCTTTCTCAGAATAATTTTTTTTTTTTTTAAACTAGGAAAATAGTACCTCAGTTGCAAATGACTTGGGTATTATATATTATATTATACTCTGGAATTACTTTTACATTACCTCAGGTCGCTGTATCAGCATTATTAACCAGTAGAGGGTGCTGCAGCAGTACTTCAGGAGCATTATTCAGTTTGGGCTTTTTTATTTGTCTGCTTTCATTTTCCTTCAGCCTATTTACAAGCTAAAGAATCCGATGACTATGAAGACTGAAGTGAGTTTTGGTAGAGTTTATTATATTTCTGTTGCTCTGGATATTGAATCAAAGTAGCAGAAGAAACAAAGCAAAACAAAGCCATGCATTTGCAGTAGAAAAGGGGGATTAGGCAGAAATTAAGCAGTTGCAGGTTTGTATTTAGTTTATATTTGTACTTGACACTCTTATTTAAACTCCTCCCAGGGCATTAGGACTTAAAGATCATAACATCTGTCATCTATAGGACTTGATGTATTACTGTTAAAATCTTCATAGTGATAATATATTTACAAAAACTGTATTATTTTGCAAGCCAAATTTTGTTGAGAATGCCATTACTAAAGCTTTTCATACACAGTGCTTCTTGTAACCGTTGCTCAATCATAAAGCTGGGTATATAATATTAGAGAACTCTTTATTTCCTTCAACGATCCACTGCGATTCATGGAGAAAAGCTCAGATTAGATCTCCAGTTACAGCTATACCACTTTTAAGGATGGGGGAAAAGGTAAGGGAGAAGAAATTAATTATGTTTCAAGAATTAATTTACTTTTCTAGCCAAAAAAAAAAGTCTATAGATGATGATTCTTACTTCATATTTGGTAATATAATACTAGCTGTGAAAGAATGAGCAGTATTGTGTTCTCACGCTAATACAACTGGAATGTTGTTTTGACTATGGCTTGCTTTAATGATTAATTTACAGATATCAGTAATAGTGCACATTGTTCTATTGCATTTAATTGAAAGCACTTGTTCTTGTAAATTTGGAGACCATCCACGAGCGCTTATGCCCTGGCATAAGTATGAATCCCAAGGGAATGTCAACCGCATCCAAGTTCTAGTATGTTATGGGAAAAGGATCTTTTATGGTCCTTCGACATTACTGACCTAAGACTGATCTCTTTCTGTGTATATAAATGCAAAAGCTGCAAAAGCCTCTTGTGGTCTCTGTTTTGTCTTCTTAAATGCATATTAAATTCTTTAGCTCATTGGGAAAAGGTTAAATAATGAGCGTGCAAATTATTGTGCATTATTAGTAATATTCTGCTTTCATATTCCCAACCTTAGTTTTCATGGGAAACATCCCAAAATCTGTACAGAGGACAGAATCCATTGAAATATACGGCAATGCTTTGAGGAACATCCAGAAGTAAAATGAGTGAGTGATCAGTTTTGCAATTTAGAGTGAGATGAAAGGACAGTCTAGCGCTAAAGCGTTTGGCTAGCTCAGGAGCTGAAGTGAAATTCTGGTACCGCATCAACTTACTTGCTGTACCTCCTCTGTCTCCAAGTCCAAAGCATCTGCCATTTGCAAACCAGGCTCTTTAAAGGGCATCGTTGCTTCACATTGGTGAAATACCTTTATGTTTCTAAACCCAAACTCTGCAAAATACCTAGTAATTTCTCCTTTGCAGCTCTAACGCTACTTCAGTTGCAGCAATGGAAGCTAACACCAACGTTTGATATCCCAGTGCTTCCAAGAACTATGGGGAAAAAAAGACTTCCGAGTGGAAAATAATTTCTAAATAGGATATTTGTACAAGATAAGCCGCTCTGAAGATATAGCAGGTAAACTCAAATTAACTGTTAGATATGGAAGATTTAGTTACATTTAACAGCTCAGGCTTGCACACCAGCTCATCTGCTTCCACTCTAGTGGCTTTTACTTGTGAAGTTTTAAAATACAGGATGATTGGATTTAAGTTAGTAGAGGGACCATAAAAAGCATTTCCTTGGGTATGAATTCTGAAGTGCTCGGTGTATTGCAGTTTATACCATGCACTTGGACACCTAAATAGAGTTCTGTAGAGACCGATAAAATCTCCTTTTGATGTTCTTTTACTGAGAGTGGGCTCTGCTGTGCTGTGAAGTCACTTGAAGTTCTCTTCAGGTTGATATGGGATCTTAGAATTAAGAGCCATCTTCTGCCATCAGTTGTAAACTGCTCTTAACATTCCTTGGCCTTATCATGCAAATGGTTACAGGATTTTGATTATGAATGCCAACGACATGCTGTTGTGTCAGCTTCTGCTGGGTTAGCAAAGCTCAGGAATGGGCATCAGTATGCAATATTCCAGTGGCATGCTGACATCCTGAGCTGGGCTTGCTTGTTTTATAGGAAAATTAGGATTATTTTCTGAATGCTTCCTCTTCCTAAGTATTTTTCCTCATTCCCTGCTGTATGGCCCGTGACTGCAACTAATGTCCATTTTTCTCTGAACTTGAAACCCCGTTTTGGGAAAAGAGATCTCTGTAGAGAGGCTGGTGCCTTCCGCATCGCTTGTTCTGAAAACTCCCGGTGTGGCTTTGTGGTGGTAAAATGCGCTGTGCAAAGAGTGCTTACGTTCACAACTCTAGAATCCAAATACCTCTGTATTTTGAGTGCTTATTGCCATGTCTTGTCATGTTACAGGTCCTATGGCTTAAGGCCAGGCAGCCGCGTTTCCTTTGCGTGTTCCCAGTGACGGGTAGGCTGGTTTGTGCCTGCGTGCAGGTACGGGAGTCGGAGCACAGCTGTCAGCTGCAGGCCTCTGTGGCTGGGCTCGCTCATTGCTGCACGCTTCCTTCAGCTCTGTCCTAAGCCTGATTACCCCTCTCCGCTCCAGGAGGGCTCATGGAGCTTGGCAACAGACTCTGGCAGAATTGCTTTGCAGCCTCACGCAGCCTGCAAGTACCAAATCTCTTGCTTCCGGCCCAGACGATCTTGTAAACACGGATCCACGGAAGACCGGGAGATGGAACTGCAGAATTTCCTGCTCAGAGGCTGCGATGATCTCATGCGATTTGGAAACGCTCGGCTATCGCAGGCTGATACCATCTACTTTCAGCTGAAAAGCTCTGGATTTATCAGCCGCTCTGTTACAGTACTAAGGGAGCAAGTAGAATCCTAGAATCGTTTAGCTTGGAAAAGCCCTTTAAGATCATCCCGTCCAACCATTAACCTACACTACCACGTCCACCACTAAACCAGTTAAGGCTAGAGCAGTAATTTCATGTTTCCTGGCTTGGTAGAAACAACCTTTACCAGCAGAAACAAACACCTTTTGCTTACCTACCCACTTACTACTCCAACTTCCACCCAGCTTCATCTCTTTACAGGTGAGCAGGATCCTGGCCCTGTGTACAGTCATCAATAATCTTCAAAGATATAATAAAAGTCCTGAGCCAGGGTATGTGCCTGATGTGCATTGCCATACGCCCTCAGGGATGAAAGGTTGTTAATTTTCTTAGTCGTCAGGATGCTGTGCATGTGAGGTATGATGGTATGTGCAAAGTGAACCTCTGCTCTGTATCCTTCCTCCCTCCTCCTCTGCTCTTAGATTCCCAGTTGAGCTTATTAACACGCCTTCTTCAAACTAGCTGTGCAAATATGCCCGTGGATTTAATGCTAGGCTGATACCACTTTAAAAATCTCACGTCCTTTATCTTTGCGTGACACTCCTGATAGCTGGCCAGCGCTAAAATGGGTTAAAATAAACATTTTAATGAAAAGCATAAAA